CAACCGGCTGAAATTGATCTTGTTCCGCCATTATCGAACATTTCGAACGCGCATTTCGTTGCGCCTCGATGTGCCTTGTCAGAAGCTTGTCCCATCATGTGCATCATAGCAGCTATATATTTCCGTTTACATTATTACTAATGGATGTAGAATTAATATCAGCGGACTTTGAGTGGCCGAACCGGCCACAGCTTTTCGGGTCGTTCCTGTCTAACCAGCGCCTCATCTTAGTTGGGAGTTTCACCAATATCATGGGAAGCTTTCTCCCAGCCTTTCCTGGCCAAGGCAGGTCAGTGTGACCCCGCGACCGGAACATACTGCTGCGAGGCCACGCGGAGATGCTCGCAGAGTTTAGAGGAGTTCTCTTCCATGATGACAAATTAATATAACACCACGAACCGCAGTGGCTGGCACGTGGAGAGATGAGCAGCTCTGCCGGCAGTTGGGAGGTGGAACTCTGCAAGTCCATATGCATGGAGAAATCCCACTGGGTAGATGCAGCAGCGAAAAGGGCTGGGGGATTGCGCGGGGGTTCAGAAAATAGTGCCGTTAACTATGCCTTGCAGCAATGGCAAGGGTGGGTGGAAGGAGCAAATCGCGCTCGTCCATTACTGGCAGCGGCAAGGGTCCCAAAAGTAAATTGCTTGCAGATTGCTGAGAGAACTAAAGGGATCGAACGATGAGGGGACCAGCCTAAGACGCTGAGTAAGACGCCGTCAAGGCGCGTTTCTCAATCTATCAGGGGGATCCCAGCGCAACATTGAATGCTTGACAGACGTTCCTACACATATAGGTATACTTTTGTCAAACGCTCGCGACCTACAAGATGTTTTTTTTTACGAAGTGGATTTCAGTTACCGCTTGGCGTTTTCACAGCCGGTGTCTGTTGACTTGAACTTGAAGAGCGGCCATCACTCATAACTTCACGCGGATTATTATTACGCTTTCGATGAACACCGAGTTTTATTAGTAGTTAGTAGCTGTTTCAAATTTCGAAAGTAACCTGCACATTTTTACCGAACTAAGCATATCGCCTTAAAATTTTTTTCTTTATTTTGTTACGTAAGTAGTGCAGCATGCTTCCATCATTACGATGCCGGTCGATCCGTGGTTCACATAGATTGGGCTAAATATTTGGATTTGTATTTTGGCTGTCGTATATTTTCAAGATTCCAATACCCAGAAAACACCGTAGCTGTTTACGAGTTTCCTGGCGCACTCAATAACATACGGCGACATTTTCCTGTACGGCTGTCCACAGGGATTTGTGTAGAAAGTGCCATAACTGGGGACTTGCTGATGATTCTTTTGTATTCGAGACCCACGAAATCTCCGCTGAGGAGAGGCTGTTACACAAACGAGGTTGCTATGTAAATATTGTGTTACCGTTGCTGCTGGCGCGGTGCAAGCGTTGGACGAACATAGAGGAAATGGACACTTACGACTTGGCCGACGGACAGGCCGTTGTCGCGGGTGTTCGTAAGACGATAGCCTGATCCCCTTTAGGCGCTGTCAGTTCCTCGTAATCTAATGTAAAAACGATGGCTTTCAACAGGCTTCCTGGTGTAGCAGACGCTCCACAGATCTATTCCCAAATTATTTGTAAAGTAAATAGACATGGATATATAACAACGTGAATCATAAAGTGGTTTCACCTGTAGCCAGTGGAAAGCTACAAAGTACAATGCTACATCTATGCTTTTGTTTACAACAGAAGGGGAATTCGTTTATGTGTCATCGCCATGACAATTGATGTTTACATTGCGTTGAATTGCCAAAAGTGGATGTCCATCCCTTGACAAAATAGAGGTGTCTTTCGGTCATACTTTTGTAAATTGTTCACAGCTATCTACGACATGTTGTGCAGTTAAGTTTCAAGCACCAGTCTTTACAAACGCAGCCAAATAGAGAAATTCATTCAATTGAAGACGCATAATCAATATACGAAGTTTACAAAAGCTCGATATTACGCATAAATAAAACCTCATTGATTTTTCTTTTCCTATTTCTTAAACTGTATCAGTCCTCTCGCGTCATGTTTGCTACTTGGACTTATTCGATAATTAAGATAATAAATATCTTAATTATCGAATGTACTACGTTACATAAGTTCTTTGCTAACTTTACTCCCTAACTATTCACTAAATGCAATCAGTGCCCCTTCTGAACTGAATTTGGTATTAAATAATACATCGTTTACGGCCGCTGTTTGCTTATATCATTTTCACTGAGGTCATTAGAATTAATTGAAAACCTCAGTCAGACGTCGAAGCTTTGCAGTATTCATTATCAGGTACTTGAAGGCGATTGTATTGTCCGGGTTCTCTTTGAGATGGACAAAAAGCACAAAAATGATTATGAAAAATATTATAAAGTGGCTCGGGTAGCTCCACAACATTTTCTTGGATCCGCTCGTTTTACTGAATATATCACCAACGATACCAGTATTGCACCGGTCTTTATATCCTTTCTCAAATAAGCAGATTATTTAGAAAAACGCCTTCTTACTAGGGAGGGCATGCATAAAGTAGCATTCTAAATTGAGATAAGCTATGAAGAAGGAATAAATGCTTTGTCTTTGACGGAAAGTGCTGAGAAAAGTGTTGCGAGCGGATATAAACTCAGACACACGCTTATGAAAGCGTAATGGAAAAATATAAGTAAATACGATGACATCTGTAATGAACTAAATAATATTAAGTGATTAAATAATGATTTTCGAGAATAAAAATATTAGAGTAATTCTATATGAGCGTCCGATCATTTACTAAATGCCTGTTTAAGGCTCTAGATGATTACGTTTTCTGCTATGTAACGCTGGATAGAATTGTTTTACGTCTTTTCTTCGAAAATCATATGGATATGATATTGAATAGCTATGCTTATATCCTACGTTAAAATGCTGACCAACGAGTTTATTTGTTAGCATATCAAGTTCAGTTGTTACGAGCTCTAATACCCTGTGAATTCGCTTCGGCCGAAATAGTGATTTTTTAAATTACGCGGGCTGTAGAAGGTAAATTCGCTTCGGCCGAAATAATGATTTTTTAAATTACGCGGGCTGTAGAAGGTGAATTCGCTTCGGCCGAAATAATGATTTTTAAATTACGCGGGCTGTAGAAGATGAATTCGCTTTGGCCGAAATAATGATTTTTTAAATTACGCGGACTGTAGAAAGTGAATTGCTACTTGTTGTCATTAAACATTCGACTTAGCATTGAAGCTCTAAGACAAGCCTACTTTATTAGAAAATTTGCAATACACCTTTTCGGCTGTATAGCAAGTTGTAACATTGAAATTTAGTGCTTGTTGATAATACTGTTTCATGCAGAATTAGCTGAAACTCTACCAAGCAAACGTCTTAAGTATATCATAAGGTCAGATCTTTGCTATGCTGTAAAGAATAATTATCAGAGCGTACTTTAAGAAAACGCCTACAAATATTCGACGAGACAACCCATCCTGGCAGCTCTTGGGAATATAGCTTTATATATCGATCACTGACATACCCAACTATACAGTTAATCATAAAAAGTGAAAGGTCTTCTTCCTGAAATCTCTGTATATAATTAGCCACCGCAAAACCTTAGCCTTGAAGATATTCAGTTTTTACAAACTCGACAGTTCTACAAGCTCTTTGAAATATTTAGTAGTACTGGACAAAAATGCTAGTGCTTTTCTAGAAAAATGTCACGCAAGAATATGTCGTGTCCTGTACGTCCCTGATTAGATCCTTTTGAAATCAACTCATCCCGAGAACCGTAGTGTCAAACCTACCAGTCTGCTAGGTTGAAATTGAATCCGCATGTAGCCAAATACCTTTGGCAATAGGATGGGCCATTCAAAGGCTAGGTAATCGAGTTACATATAATAAATATGAGAGTAAATATCGAGGATACCCGTGTACAAACAGAGAAGTGAATTATATGAAATAAAGAAAGAACCGATTTGAATAATGAGGACATAGGATACATTTGTATGATACCTTTTTTTAGAAGTCACACCGTCTATGCATAACTGAACTGTCATGCAAATTAGACTTGAGCACGTGAAGTATGGGAGAGGTACTGTGAAGTTGATTCAATTTGACAAAGATAACTTCCTTATGCCACGCTAGCAATTTAGTAACGGCAGTTTGCCCCATATTTATACGTATATTTAATCAATCAGACCCTCGTCACATTAGCTGTACCCGCTTCCGCTGCATTCCTAACGTCGTTTTTTGATGGTAATTCGCCTGTCTGGATTGGCTGTTAACACATTAATCATATATATGTATATATATATATATATATATATTCCAAAGCTGCCTGTGTTTTCTGACTATCAATACCTTACACTTGCATCATTCGTATTGACAATTAAGACGATTATCAATTGATCTTGAATCATCTGTCATGCCTTCACTTTTCCTTCTATCTCAATGTCTGCTAGTAATTTAGCTTTAGCTGGCGCTTTCTTTGCCTAAGGTTACCCTAACAGCGGGGTAAGCGTTTTGGGCAACGCCACCCTATACTGTGAACGCAGTTGCGCAAAAAGCTCAACCATCGTTAACGACGGAAGCTGCAAACAGTCCAGCAGTTTTTTGGCGTTCAACAGAGTGGACGCTTTTGGTCCCGAGCAGGAGGTTACGATCTGATGGACCGAGTAAACTGTTGAGAGCTCAGCTTGGCCATAGCATCTCAGAGGGAAAGGTTAACTCAACCTTTATCCAAGTGTTCATTATTCATTCAAGAAAACAGAGCATCTTCCGCGAGAAGGGACTGTTCCCATTGTGTTCTCTTTACATCTTTGTCTAGCACAAGCACAAACTCGCTGGTATCCTAGTACTTATATCTGATGCGCTGAGCTGACTTATTCTGAGACAAGACCAGCTTGACATAACCATGAAGGTTAATGCTGATACCGTCGTACGTGTACGTTCTGCACGAGCATAATAGAAAAATGTATAGTAAAGAGACAGCAGGAGTTAGTGCTGTTGGTAAGCCATAATACCGTCATGGTGATAAATATACACAGAAATGTATAATCATTTATTTCAATATATATGTTATATGCGACCATAGGGGCATGCGCACATTCGACAAATCGTATTTTATGCCTTCATGTAATGCCATGCTAAGTGGGTAAGGACATTTTTTGGGTGATTTAATATGGCCATGTAATAAGCTAGCAATAAAGAGTAAATATACGGAAATAATTGTAATATAAACGAAGTACAGGCTGATAACATCGTGTCTGAAATTTGTGGCATCTGAAAATAGTTTAATCGCAAAATTTCCTTCGTTTGACCGCTGACACCTTCGAAGGTCGTATAGCGATTTACTTCCGACATACTTAATTTTCTCTTGTGATCCAATCCTGAATCTCGATCGTAATCATTTAATAAATGTGACTCCTATGTGTAACACTAATGCCTTTTGAGAACAGAGCGCATTATTCCACTCGGTCAGCAGAGATATTAGTAAAGGGTAATCTTGTCGGGCGTGGTAGTCGTTAGAACGTGATTATTATGTCAGACTAACGTATTCGACGGGCCCTCTGTGGACGCCTGACCAACCAGTCATTGTTGCCTGCTAATATTAACGTTGATATTTGTATAGTAGTACGCCTCATTACCTAACTAGCATCAAGCTTGGTTTGAGTTGTCCGTGATATCGCGGCCTGGTGGGCCCGGCAACTTTGTCGTTTTTTACTATTTCATCGTTTAATACTAATACCTACAAGAAAATGATTAAGGTTAGCAATGACTCAAAACAACGTTCTTTCGTCTGCTAGAATACCGAAATACAATTGGCACGAAAGCGTTATCAATACCAACCTTGTTTAATGATATTTTCTTAAATGTGGGGCCTTTAGTAAAAGGTGCACTTGGGTCTTCTTGATATTGGGCTGTTTAAGGCCTCTGATACTTGCCTCCTATAAATGCGATGGGTTTTTCGAACTGCCTAAGGTGATGTATTTCACTAAAATCTTTCTCTATTGTGCCTGAAATTCAAAACCTACCAAAAATCATATACCAGCTTCACTGCTGATCCGTCTTCCGTAATGGCGTTGAATAGTTCTTCAAGCGCCAATCTCCATCAGAATGGCTAAAAACGGTAAAAAAGGACAATGTTTAAAACCGCAGATGGAAAGCGACGAATGACTCGAAAAAAAAGGCAAATATGCGGGGAAAAGTGCTGCATAAGTTCAGGCTAGCAACCTGCAATACTGTGAATAAATACACAGTTACCCTCTACTTAGATGTCCTTTGTATAAGAAGTTTCGGAATTTTGACCCCACGAGCAGGTGTTTCGCTGTCATTATTGATCGATTCTTCCGTCTTTTGGTCACATTTAGAAATGATTCTGCGGAAACGCTTGGGTAATCTTGTAAGAGCTTGTACGGCCTCGGACCCGTCTCCATGCAGGGCTAATATCGAGGGACGCAATTTTTCTCAGCTCCGACACGCCACGAGTGCGTCAGCTATTCTGAAATTCAGGGAATCCGATTTATGTAACTGTAGCAGAATTACTTGCGATAGTATACCTCGAAATTGCGTTAATAATAACGTTCTTCGCAATGGTTTTGTGACTGTTGCGAAAGCCCAGCTTTTTACGTTTGTTACGTTTTGATGTTGTTCCCCCCTTTCAATCCGCAATCTTAGCATCAACTTCACGTACATCTGATAGTGACACAGGCCACAAACTTATAGCCATATGGGTAGCTTACTGACGTTGTAGAGATGGTAAGAAATGTACTCTTCTTTAAATTGAGATATTTGGTCTTTTGTAAAAACTGTGCAGTCATCGGCGCCTACTCTTACAAGTAGACACGCTACATAAGAGTCTGCCATGCTTATTTCTTTTCCTGTGATCATCTGCTATAACCTACTCCCTGAAAAAAAAGCCCACACTACCGCTCTTGTGCTATTTTTTTCACTGCTCTGTTTATATGTAAGTTTTCCTAAGTTAGTTATTTTTGTCGCTTATTAAGAAAAATAGAAATGATTTATGTAGAACCTGTATTACACAGTACCAAACGTCTAGGTCAAATGAGAAGGTATAGCCGTATAAATTCGGTACGAAGTTTTAGCATTTGTAGCTGACCTATTTTAAATAGATTATGACCACAATATGTATATGCACAACTTTAGCGCCAGCTTGTAAATAAGCCACATTTTGAAAGTGTTCACGGCATTTTTCCCAACTTAGCGCAGCGTGCATTAGACTTCTTTACCTATCCATACATTTGTATAATACACGTCTTTACAATCGCTACGCGTCGTTTCACGTTATAGGATATAGACTGTTGAGTTTCTCATCCTTACGTCCCATAGTGCATTGAAGAGGTAGTGAATATTTTCCGGACCGACTTAAGGATACACGTCCAAAACACACATGCATAGTATATCGCAGTTATCAATGAAGAGACACTGGGGGTTGCCAGGTGCTTTGTATGTGCACGCTTGTGATGGGATACACTTAATTATGGTTACGGAGGGCACCTGCGGGAGAACTCGGCCATCCATTACCAGACTAATACGTCCTGTTTTAGGTTGGCCGGAAAGCCAACAGCCTATGCCGAACGATATACCAAAACATCTCTCTTCAAGGCGACGAATCGCTGAAAATCGCTAGGGGAGCGATAGATACTACTGGGCTTTGACATATCCTTTCAGGAAAATGAAAATGAAAGGAGCATCATATCTTAACAATACCGTACATCTAGGAAATACTTTAGGGGCTCGTATATAGCACGAGGAAAGTGTGCTGTTACCTTTATCTTGGTACTCTATTGATGTAAAAGAACACAGCTAAATAGCCACGAATTTCACAGTTTTAATGCTGCAAAGATTGCAGAAGTATTGAAGGTTAACATGCCACCTACAGGATAATTCAGGATAAGCTCAGAGCAAAAAGGAATTTGAGGAAGGAGTTGACGGATCCTGATGCAACCCGCTTCGGCTTTGCTGAACTGCACGTCATGAATGTATGGTGCAAAATAGAAGAATATATAGACTTAGCAAAACTAAAGCTTATTCAAGCAGCAATAAGGTAAACAGGCTACTGTATCAGAACCGTTAGGCCTTGAGAGGATGCTATTCTAAATAATTTGATTCAATAATGAACACTCAAATAGCGCAGTTGCTTTGATCAGCGAGAGCTTCATTACACTGCTCACGTCTACTATATACAAAGAGCTCCGCCAGGCACTGGATACTAGATTCGGAGAGCGGGGGTAACTCCACTCAAAATTATTTTTAATGAGAGGACTGTATAATAGATAATAATTTCGAATAAATTATAGGGACGTAGTGGAGTATTGAACGAAATGGCGCGATAAGCAAATCTTAAGCATGAACATATGATTATTACGAAAACGTATTTTGTAGTAAAGAGTGTATTTTCGTCATGTTAGAACTTCGTTATCGCATTTGCTAGCCTCTCGCTAAGCACTAAGTACCTAAATAAGATGCGAATGTTTGTTTATTTTCACATGATATTCAGCATGTGCTTGGTTTCAGATAATTCAAGGAGAAGTTAAAATAGCGACTCATCGAAGGTGTCAGCACATAGCAATTCCTATACCCCATTAACACTTCGAAAATTGAGTCCCCTAAAAGCGCAGATCGTGCGGGTGTGTTAAAGACTCCTTGGTGGAAATACAATTTTGCGTATGCCAGTGCCGTGGTGTGCGTCCAGGGTGGACACTGGAATAGATTCGACAGTTTGATACACGAAAAAAAGGGCGCTTTTTTATCTTTCTTATAGCAAAAACGTTACGTTGAACTGGCTCTGTTTTATCAGCAAGTTTCTCAGTTAACGTTAATAGGCTTTTCTGCTCAAAACAGATTGATCGATCATCGATGCCCGTAAATATGCTTTGATCAAAAATCGCGCGGACAGAAAAAGCGTAGATAGGGGTTTGGATAATCCCCGTTCGAATTGTCCAAATAGTTTTGTTTTTTGGCAGACGATCTGAATTTTCGAAAACTAATAGCAACGCGACTTGGATAGTTTGCCTAAAAACTTGATGTAAAGGTTCCATAAAAAGTTTGGCTTTTTCAAACTTATTAGGTGAAATATCGTTTACCCGCTTCTTCTGATGTTCACTCGAAAATAATTTAGCTTGTATATATGTGCATGCGATGAAGCTCTATCGATTTATAGTTATAAGGAACTTACCTCACTTAGCTATATTTCGGTGTTAATTATCCTATATTAATAAATAAATTGCCCAAGTACCAAAAGGGACACGCATGTCTCACTTAGCGGTAACCTTGCACCTTAGCTGCCATGGGCAATGCCAATCGCTCATAATGAAATACTGCCTCTGAAATCGTTACTGCGCTGAGTCCGCTCGTACTATGGTAACTTTAGCAAGCATACTTATTAAACCTTCAAAAGAAACGTCCCCAAAGAAACAAATAGATTTTAAATATAAAGGCTCGTTGCCTGGTGCAGGCTATGCCAAAGTAGTTCTGAGCCTCTAGAAGGCAACGGGCGTAAAAATACTCTGTTAGTTGGGTTAAACCTGGACGGTGCAACTGCCCACGTCCGTCTTAACAGTAGTCGAACTAACCCAGATGCGATCTTGCCTAGTAGCTATAGAGCAGTCTCAACCGGTCAACCGGATCGTGCGATACGTTTCTAGCGTAGGAACATAATTTCCATGTTTAGTTTTTTAAACTGTGCCAATCCTTGTACATAAGTGACTCTGCCATGTTAGCAATAAATGTCAGCTGGCTTTCGGTCAAAAGAGCTGTTAATAACATGACATGTCCCAACTCAAGTAAAACTGGGTTGAATATTTCGAAAACCACAACACAATTGTACATATGTTAAAGACACGGTATCGCTCAGCAGCTCGCGGTGTACCCAGGTGTACCGCAAATTTCGTCCTCATAGCGTAGCTTGTATAGATTCAATTTGTTTCACTGGGAAAGACCACAAGGCTGGATATTTTGAATTAGCAGCTTTAGATGCAAGGCCATATTGTATGTTACCGTAGACCATAGTTAGATTATAAACATAATTTGGCGTCGTTTTCGAGATCTGCTAGTGTACTCGTACTTAGATACACCCTCGATTGGGTACTAAATTGATTTAATGATAGTGATAATAGTATACAGTTAGTCTTCTCTTGCTCTCAATTCTTACTTTTCTCAAACCTAGCGAACGGCTGTTGTACACCTTCTAAGAAAATTATAACAATTATTATTATACTGTATGAAATCACGATACGTCCAGTACATAAATGCATATATTTCAACATGGTGGGGACGTTCGTTTTGTTGAAGGGCTAACCTGACGACATACCAACGATTAACATGAACTCGTACACCTACAAGTTGTATATATTGACCAAATTCTCTCTCACTGGATTTAAACAGAGAATATTTATGCAGAATTTTATTTTCAGAAGGCTTTTTACCCTGTAACCACACATTTAAATATGGTTAGAAACCCATCCCAAATCTAATAACTCCGTAATCGATTTCTGCCAAATCAGCTCAATATGTTCATATAGTAGACGACATCTTGCAAGCACTCGAAATGATGTAGACAATGTACACTATCACTAGCAGTGTAAAAGCTTAAAAATCCGTGCAAGTTCCCGATATTATAAATGTACATATATAATGCATGGGCACCTCCAGATACGCATCTCGATTGACTTATAGAAGGTTTCCAAGTGTAGATTACGACAGACTCGCTCTAAATGGGTATAGAGGGAAGGGGAAAGGGGTTGGTAGCGAGTATTCGCTCCACCGTTGATGGTGTGCCCTCTGTTAAAACCCAGTGGACCTTAAACTGGCAGGCACTCGGTCGTCGGCCCCCGCGGTTCAGCCCCCGAGCGGTGTTTTCATCGACTCGTAGAGGTCGACTCGGCCTTGTCGTCTGTTAAACACTAGTTGATGATTTTATACCCTTTGTTCTGTGTCGTTCGTGCTCACACAGACATACGTTCACGTACCCAGAAGCTATCAGCTAGCTCTGCGAGCCCAAGAGCCTCCATCCACGCTTAAATAAGTCTGCAATATCATGGCCAGAGAACCATTAGTGCGTGAAATTCGTACAGACTTAAGGATCTTGACATCTTTCTCCAGAGACTAGGCACACAATAATACAACGTACAATCGGTTTGGCGCTGCCGTACGGCGCAATGCTATTGGTTGTGTCCTGTATCATAAGCATACGAAAAATCGCGCGTGCTAAAAGTGATAGCGTGGTTTGGTCTTGCGACAACTGGATGGCATTGTTAAGTTCGTTGGGTCTGGTATTTGAGGAGTTGTTCGCGCAAGTGCTGACGTGTATCGAGCAGAACACGATGGAACTATATGAGAAAGCATGACACCAACTAATTTTTTTACGTAACAGCATGAATTTTTGCAGAGTCTGTAGATCAGGACAAGTGTAATATATATATGCTGGTTTCGGTTCATTCACTTAATTAATGTTAATGCAGATAATACCCCATGGAAAATAGCGTTCTAAGAGGATCCCGCAGGATCGGATTAAGTTGAAGAGATTGTTATCCACTCTCCAGATAAAGAAGAGTTTTCTGTCTCTGTTCGTTACATATTCGGCGTACGCATATGTAACGAAGAAGCGTATATATATACACGACGCAAAGCAGGTCTTTAAGGCTGGCTCCAAGAACGCTGAAACATATAGGCAAACGCCATACGCTATTCATTATCTTAACGGAAAGGCTAGTACCACACTGCCTGTGAGGTGCTGCAGTGCACTTACGTTCTGCCTCGATATGCATAAAGGTGCGAAATAATTCTTGTCCTATGGAAGGGAATCGTTGTAGGGAGTATGCACGCCCACAGCTTCGACACCATCTTCTTCCGTGCACTCTTACTTCCCGTCTTCGAATACCGTGTTCTCCTCTATCACGATGTGCTTCAGCAGTGTGGTTCGCTTGGCGTTCAGTATAATTTTAACAAACCCTCGGTCATGTCCAATTGCTTTTATTTCAAACACTCTGCCGCATCCCGAAGAACTTTTCATCTCTAAGCGTTAGATTGTCGGAATCATATGCACAACCTCCTCTTTACCAAGAACAGCTTATTTGCTCTTCAATATACAGTAGCCATTCGATGGACTTGCGTTCAACGTGACAGCAAATGATATAGTGGTAAATTCAGGAGCTGTCAGGCGTAATGTTGCTGAGATTTAAAAGCAAGCCAATAGAATCTCATTACCACTGTCATCATCCATTATACTCATTAGTGCCGCGGCGACAAACAGCCTTCTTTTCATCTGCTCGAAATCGCTGAAGTCTTTCAGGACACTCATTTTCGGCGTTGATGTCAGACAGTTTACCGTTGCTGCCACCTCTGTTCCTATGTAATATAGCAAACAGAATGATTGAGTAGTTAACATTATCTAAATATTTGTCAAAGCAAAACTAATCTACTGGTCCAAGCATAACGTGGCGTAGCTTTTGTTGGTCGTTACCTGGGGCGCCAGTCGTCACGCCACGACGCACCTAGACATAAGCACACGGCTGAAACTAAGCCCATCCTACCTGAGCACGAGTAAGTACACACAACATATAGTTTTACATGCACGTACACGTATGCGGTATTTGTGAGAAGCAGTGGTATATTCGGTATTTTTGGCGGTGACACTGAAGATGACGCTCAACGCACCGCGGCGCTTTTTGCACTTCGCTATTGAATGATGCACAAAGTCAAAATGTTTGGACTGCTGTATTAAGATTTACAATTTTTCAATTGTCAGGTTCATCAAGGGTCTCCTTCAGCAATATACGCGAGTGTCAAATCTAGATGTATGGTCATATATCTTTCCTATTCACTTTGTTCGTCGTAATGTTTCTTACCACGTCCAGCGCATATATATAACCTGCTATAAAAAAGTAGAGCGTATATAGTGCATAAAAGTTTCTAAGTTGGGTGGGTGAAATAGCTTAATGGAACGAGCGGCGACGGTTACGAAGCGGGAGGCATGCTGCAGTTCCCAAGGGAAGTATGTATGCAGACGAGTCAGTATAGACTTACTTGTACGCAGGTTCGGAAGCGAATACGTTCCTAAGTGGCACGCTTTTTAGAACGTCTTCGCTCTTATGCGTCTGCGATGTAACTTTTTTTTTATTGTAACCGATCAATAGAATGGTACCGTGTAATTTGTCCACATATGTGCCATCATCTATAGGTACAACTACCTGCATATGAAAATTTAGGGTACCATCGCTGCATACTATTCTTTTGTTAAAAGCCATCGTAGTTGAGTAGCGGCACTGAAGAATGCGTGCGTTCATCTTGTCAAACGTCACAATCCTTTGGTGAAATGGCTTGGGTATACGCCTCTATAAGAACTGAAAATGGCCAGCCATTATACCTTACCATGAAGCATTAACAAATATTAAATCACTGCGTTTATGCGTACGCAGACAAACACGTTATACTGATAAATGCTGTGTAAAACTGCAGTTTGTTTTTTTTTTATTACACAAGTTTTTGCTTACAGATCGTCACGGCAGTCATGTATTGAAAATGTCTCAGAAACCGCGTTTTTATGTTAAAGCGTTTGTTCTTTCTTCGCGAGAAGATTATTGAACTAATGCTATGAAGCATGGAACATTCTCGAACGATATAAAACAGGTTCAGCTGCAACTATAATACGCATATGTGTACTAATTAGGACATAAGTGCTGAATACTTTCTAGAGCATCGTAGATTATTTTATATATTTAATCCATTTCACACTATGGGCAGTAGCTAATGTATGAATTGCTCAGCTATTATTAGGAGCCAGACGTCTTTTCAGAAAGATCGATACTTTCATCAATACCAGTCCTCTCTTGAAACTCGTATAGAAGACAGGCAATAGCGAAAGATCTAGAAGTCTGACAAAGAAACATTGTGCTTCTCGTTGGTCGTTCAGTCCTCGCACTGTGCTTTATGGATTCATGCACTCGTTAGTGGGTAGGTTAGTGAGACAGTCCCATAGATTCGATGTAGGGACTGGGATATTTGCTATAATTCAGCTGGTGCAGATATGCCCAGCCTACGTGAATCAGTAGGTTTTTTTTTTGGTCGTGTTTTGTTTACCCCCAATGATGGTGTTCCCAATTTCATGTTAGTTTTCCAATACCATCCAATCAACATCGATAGAGTAGTTGGGCTTGTTCTTATGATTATAGCTCTGCACTTCGTGTTTTCTCCGTTGTTTTCGCCTGAGATCATTGCTATTCTTAGCTTCACGCTATATATATAATATATTGTATATACATCATGGAGCAAGGTTTGTGACCCAGCATAGCTCCAAGCGACTCAAGCGGCGAACCTTGACACTAGTGGTATAAGCTAACCCTATCAAGATTAGTGCATCTATTGCAGATCTTCAACTGGGTCGTGCACGGTTACCAACCAGGCTGAAAATTCTTCACAACGTAACTGCGCTTTGAGCTGGTATCGATAATTTAGATCATATGAGTAGAAACATCTCAGCCGAACATCGAATATAACACTGTGCTACAAAGTATCAATTTAACCATCACGACAGTCAAGTGTTTAGATGTTGATCATTAAATATGTATGTATATATACATAAACCTCCATAATAGAGCTTATATTTAAACTACTATTGATTTTTATAGGGACATCAAGGGCGAGTCTACTGAGTGAGCATGCATCATTTGACGTGTTATACGTATAGCTCCTAGTTTAACATACACTTCACTGTGAGTTACCAGTAGATATCAAAAATGACGCCTTACGTAGTTTGATCTCGGCATCAATAAATCGATGCCTAAAAAGCAAAGAAACATTGATTCCTCAATTGTTCAGTTTCCCTCGGCTGGATCCTACAACAGTTTGTTTACGTTAATGACTGGCTTTGACCTTTTCTGGGATCTGAAATCAATCTGGTGCAGAAGACCTAAAAGGATTTAGAGAAATTGGGCAAGTAAGAAAACGAAATAAATGAAGGTTTGATACAGCCTTGAAAAAGTGTTGATAGCAAATAACTAGGACGCTAACCCTCGGTCGCCCCTCCAAACCATGGAAAGGGGCGTTAACCTTTCTATATGTGTAAGCAGAGCCTGCTAAGTCCTGTTGAACATTATCGTCCAAGGAAGAGAGATAGTAAAAGGTGGGTTATAAACTTACGTTAGCATTATAGGTATTGCGTAGTGACTCAATTAAAGTACATCTTCATTGAGTCAAAGGTGAGAACTTATAATGAGAGGAATGTAGAGCATACAAGATAGTAAAAAATTTCATTTTGATATTAGAACCATTGCAGGAATGCCATTTTGGTGCTTCCACTTAGGTATGGATCTTCATCCATAAGCCTCGCTTTATACTTCCATTCAAGCGATTGCTTTTAGTGGAGTGAAATTTCAAAATAGCAAATGATTTTGTCTTATGTTGAAAAAATGTTTTGAGACCTCTTACTAGAACTTTGTAAGTTTATATCCACCTTACTGCTAGTACAATGAGGAGGCGACAGACAACAAGAATTCCTTGCATCTTTCTATCGGCACGAAAAAAAACTTCTGAATACAGTGAAAAAGGATGATATACGCTTTTAAGTGAAGTGTCCATGCCATAGAACTTACGAAATAATCAGTTTGTATGAATTGGCATAAGTCTAGTAACGTTTTAATAAAACGTCACTTGTACATCTAATCATTTGTCGCTTAATAACGGTAGAAACATAGTAGAAAAAACTGTGACATTATTAATTTTACGGTTTTACCCTATGTTTAACCAAAATTTTGCGCTCTTACGACACCACCTACAGCGCATTGTACCATTTGTTTACAGGCGGCAATGGTTCACAATTAAGCGAGACATTAGGGAGAGAGTACCAACATAAAGTGTCGCATCTATTGTTTTTTTGTCTACTAGAAGTATAGCATTAGAAAACCACAGTTTTCGAGAGGAACCCTTGAGACAGTCGGCTAAGACTGGTCTACGACTTTAATCTGATAAGATCAATTCGGTAAATGAAAACGAAGCCGCTTAAGCGCGGCGTACTTAGATGTGTCCACTTTGGTAGCAATAGGGTATGGCCTACTTAATCACAAGTACTTTTCCAATCAACACTAGTTGTATATATATATCACAGTAATGGAACTATACCCTGCTGGGCTGGCTTAGGTAGCCAATTTTTTCCTTATGAGCTTCGCTGACCACACCGACTAAACCTTGCGAATAAACAAATACAAAAGAATAGCATAGAATAGACAAGATCTGCTTGATATATGATTACAACACTTATTTAATTCCTCCTCGTCGATTTTTTCTTTCTTGTACTATCATGCACCTTATCAGCGTGCAACACGTTCCAGGACGTTTAAAAAGACGAAATAGAATCAATAAAGTATTTCTATTTCGAGTCACCACAACGATATTACAACTGTACCTAGTATAGCTACTACTTACGGTTTCTTTAATATAGCTTGCTCCTCTCGTGTACCACTGAAGTGCTCTTTTGTTTCTTCTTGTGCTTTTAGCCATTTAAGCCCTTGTCGACCCTTCAGCCCATTCCGGTGATCCGCCTCTGGATTTCGTGCCCTTGTCGACGCCAGCGCCTCGCCAGGACAGTGCCCGCGGCCGCTGGCCAGTTCGAGTGGCGGCAACGACGGCCATGTTCACCACGACCAACTACGCTGTTTTTATTCTGCTGCTGGTGCCGGACCGATGTCGACTCATCCGCCTGGTCCAGCAAACCATTCTTTAAATGACCATGAGTAGATCTAAGCCACTGAAGCCCTATGGGGTCAAACTCTAGCCACCAACAAACTACAATGCTACAGCCTCACACGAAGGTACTCCTTTTACAATTTACAACCTCTACTATGTCTTCGTAGGCCCTTAGAGAGGGTTCGTGAAAGGAACACACTGCTAGCAGCTATAGCATCAGCAGTAGTCACAACACTGGACTTGGCTACCTAGCATGCCTTACATGAGGCAGTGCTTGTGCTCGGCCTAAGCACAGCGGAGACAGCTAGAGAAGTGGGAGGTACCACTTACGTTGCTGCTGCAGCTGCTCCTACCAGCCGCCGACTCTGCCGTCGTTGTACCTTTTAGGTTTTCTCGAGTAATGCCCACGACGAAACGAACCACTCCCTTGGGCGTAGCGGGACATCGGTACCGCGGTCGCCGCAGCCGGTCGACATAGAGTCGTCCTCTTGGCGTTCAACGGGCCGAGCCACGGTAGCGCGGCTCAACTAACGTGGGGCTAGAGCCGACCGGCAAAAGAGACAAGCAAGTAGCCCAACGCACCCCGTTCATCCTGTTCCCTCTTTTTCCGCCGATTGGATCGCCTTGGTTGCACTTCCCACTTCCCTTAGGCGTTCCTTTCAGTTCAACGAGTGGAGAGCAAGAGGAAGAAAGGAGAGCAGGGGAAAAGAAACGACGAGAAAAAAAAAAGCTGGGAGACACGCACAAATGAGTTCTCTCTCTTGGCGGTACCCTCGAGGCTCTTGAGGTCTCCACTCGATACTACCGCCAGCACGGCAACGGCCATGACTAAGGGAATACAGCTGCTCTACCCTATACTTAGCATTGCTAAGGCCCCGTTCCCTTACTATACAATTTTTTTTACTCGGTATTGCCTAGATCTTCTGGCTCCTTATCCCTTGCTCTGCCTCTTGCTTCTCTCAATCTCCGCGTTTTGGCTCAACGTCTCACGAGACTTTTCTTGATGGCCCTACATTTTGTGAGACTTGTCCACAATAACAAGGTCAGGCTGAATACGCGCTGAGCTAAAAGTTTAGGTGAGCCTGCTTCCTGGTTCTAAATCTCAATGCAGGTGTCTATGCCTACTTACGGCTATGACGGTAAGCATTTTCGATGAGTTAACGAATTAGAACTGTTTCCACTGGCTGCTGCAGTTCAGTTCGACGTGCTAGCTGATTATGCGCTTTTCTATCTTGAAGGTAAGACTGGCCTGAAAACAGCTTTTATCGTAAACAACCAGTTCCCATAAAAAGACGTTGAAACATTCTAACACACGAATTTTCCTGCTTAACGAATTTGTCGACTTGAACTAGTTGTGTTTAGGGAAGTATGTCTATTTTTTTTTTTTTATTTTCGCACGATGACACTATTGAGCGCTGTTTCAGGCATTTTGGAACACCTGCCTATAAGGAGAAACAGAGCTTGAATGACGCCATTTGAAATTCAACTATTCCTGTATACCGACCTTATTATATTCAACAATCACATTTACAATATACATTATTGTACGTACAATACCCTGCCAGAGAACGTAACATATTATAGAAGTAGCGTATTTGTCAGCAGTGGCTTTGCCGGCTTCTCTATGACATCTGTTATACATTTGTGTTAACGTTTAGCTTCTAAAATACGTGCAAGTCAGACGAGGCCGGCGACTCATGCGCCTGTTTGTGATTTCATTCGAACATACGGGCGTGTAAGCCATGTCAATGACCCTTTGCGGTTATACAACGCTATAATATGAATCGCATTTGCTTTGCAGAGGAATTCAGCTGAAGAATGTAAATGCTATGATGAAGGGCTAGTTGTTCTAGTGTCTCATCTCTGTCTGTGTACCAGGCCAGCTCGCAGTGTTGAGGAGACATGGAAGGGCAGGCAGGCAGGCCTCACAACAACTAAAGACCCCGAGTCCACTGTCTGTTCTGCCGTTAGCCAACTCACTATACGGACTGCCACCGCAACGACAGGCAGTGTCGAGCTATTTGCGCCTTCTCTCCGGACTCGTGCCACCCCAGCCATTTGTCACCATTGTATAAGATAGAGAGCGTAACGCAGGGTTGGGCAGGTCGAGCCAGCGAGAAAAGACAGCATGGAAATCGACGCCAGTGCAGTGGCTTTTCTATACACGCGGTATGTAGTAGCCTGCTATGTGAGTTTACTATAAGCGTACCCTCTGCTAAAGTAGGAGAACTAGAAACATAGCTGCCCCAATTTTCTTTTTTTTTTCCGCTCTTTCACTCCCCTTTGTTTCCCTTACACCGCCCCCAAGGTCTAGTCCTGTCAAAACGCAAATACGTCATTTATCTCATAGCCGCCCTTCAGTGGGAAGTGGGATACTGGAATTGTTATACCTGTGCGAGCACCCGCACAAAGGTTTTCGTTCCTTCACCCACTTAGGCCGGTGCTCCGCATGCACACACACATACACGTCATGTTCGTGCATTCTTCGACTCTGTACCTTTGTGCGTACGCAGATATGACAAGTTAAGCCGACTGCTGAAATGCTGAGCCGGTACTAGCGGCGCTCGGACAGCGCAAGCTTGATTTTCTCGGCTAGAGGCTAAGGGCCTCCTCGGTTAGCACTCAGCTCTTGGCAACTCATCACCAAGTCGTGCCGGCCGACTGCCAACTAAGACACTGCTGCTTCGATCCAAACTGTAATTTTCAGGTTTAGCCGGCTCCATGTGGACGAACGTATATGTGTACGCGTAATGCAACGTGGCAAACAAGTAACGTAAAAGACTAATGTCTTTTACATTTTTTTTAAAGAGGACCGTGAACAGAAAAAAAATAGAGCGACGCCATAGGCGGTAAGCGATTGTAGCATGGTTTGCTAAGGTGAACAAAAATTAGTGAAGGATCTAAAGTAAAGAGCACAAAGTAAAAGAAAACTTGCGTTAGCAGAGTGCAATATTCGGTGGGCATTGGACGGTATAATGGATTAAAAGTAATATATTTAACCATATAAAAAGAAATTCGGAGTATTCTTTAGAATAAAATCCATATTTCTCCATTTAAAAATATCCAAATGTGTTCATTTCTATAATTCTAACACACCATGGATGGTGATAATAATATAAATCAGATTTTTCGGCTGAGATCTACATTCTCTCATTTTTTTCGTAACGTTCACATTACCACATACCCTGCTAATGCTCTTAATTAAATTTTAAAACACCTTTATTTGTTTTGCTATATAATTTATGATGAGATGCAGGAAGGTGCATTTCAGCACATGGACTGATTTTTAACAGCATTAACTAAAAAATACCATATGATTTACATTCGCCCGAATCGAGTCGACTGCTTGTGCTTTATAAATAGTTCCGTAGTGACTCAATATGCCCAGGATGATAGCTGGATAACCCTCATTGTATTCAGCAGTCGTTGCGCTCTGATTTGGCCAACACCCGAATGACCCGATTGAAACCTTCTGCGAGTTTATTTCCACTTCAAGGCAACCGTGTCGTTCGTCTCTCCTTCGAAGGTCAAGACAAATGGTCCCCGCGGAGGGACTCGAAATGTAGGGGTTTTCACAGCAAATACACACAATACACACTTACTGATCAATCAGGTTAGACTTCTGCGAAGCCATCAGCAGCCTTAGTTGCCCTTCACCGACAGCCAGGGTCTATCTCAGAAAAGGCAGAGTGCAGCTTCAATTCTACTCGGCTCGACGGAAGTCGGCTTTATAAAGACACCTCTTTCGTCAGCAGTAAGGTAATACGCTCGAGGGACGATTACTGGGATACAGAGGACCCAGAAAAGGGTCTCCCGGTGCCAAACTCTTCTAGACGCCGGCCGCTTCAAGTGGTTGACAAAGTTCTACGCTAACGCTGCGTGCGCCATCATATATACACTACCACCACCACCAAAGGTCTCCACCGCTGATAGGTAATTTATTCAAGGTAAGATTGTTTAACGGATTCGCTAGTCAGATAGAAACAAATTGAGACTGTTTACTAGCGTAGTAGTCTTCTGGAGACTGCCACACAGCATTATTAATAGATAAATCTAATCAATATCGATTTGTCTTGTTAGAATTAACCCGGCCTACGCAATTAGTTGAAAGCGATGTAATAATATATGTATAATATAATAAACGTTATAATGTTTGTCTAAGATAAGAAGATATAAGAAACGGGCCCGAAATAAAGATTCGTTAATTTTCATTCATTTTTTTATTTTACTATACTGTACTTGAGTTCACTATACTATATATTACTGAGAATTTTATAACTTTTCTGTATATATATATATATATATATATATAAGATGAAATAAAGGATGCCATTATGAACTATTTGCCTACAAAAAATAGAAATAATAAGATACTACACATATAATGGGCAGTTCACTATGGAAAACGACAAACATAAGATGACGCTACATTAAAAATGGTGCGACATTTTGTTTATTCAAGATACCCCTGTACTTCGCAATTGAAATTGTACTGAGCGACCAAGGCAAGAGCATTCACTTAGAGTGACGAATGGTCATTACGTCTGGAAATCCGTTAGATAATCGTCTGTATATATATATATATATATATATATATATATATACGTACATATATAATTATTTGCCAAGTGTTTTCCCTTGAATCTCCTTACTTACTACGAAACGTGAAAAAAACTCATGTCATCTTTGTAGATGGCGCTACCTTATCATGGCGCCATATTTTGTGACGTTTATTTATTCGAGATACACTTGTGCTCATTGAAATCTAATCGTCACTTTGTTCGTTAGCAGACAAGTTGCAAGACGATCAAAATATTCGAGCGGTTTAGGAATATTAGTTGCAGTTTGGAACTGCAACGCCCTAGGCAGCTGGTCCCTAAGACCTGGTATTCAATCAAGGTTCCATTATTAAAGACATTGCAATAGGTTTACATACATAAAAATTTCAGAAAGAACATTTTTACACTAAAAATTAGTCTCGTTGATGGCCTCCTGCAAAAGGGGAATCACCTTAATACGTTCGAGTGTTGGCATGCTGATTTAGAATATGTGAAAGATCATCGTTGTCATTTTGATCAAATGAATAAAATGAAGATTAATTAAAAAATTGAAAAAAGAACGAAATCTGAGCGAGGATCGAAAACGCAGGTGTAGAGAAGCGTACTTCCCTTTACTCTTACGTTATTACGATGACCTATGATGAAAATAGATAGTAACAAACGGTCACTAACAGTGGGTAGATTTAAATGAACCAGTCGGAAATTTATAGCAATCAATTGTACAGCTTATGGTATCCGTTTGGTAGCTTCTGAATCTTAATTTATCAATTACGAATTTTACTATTTGAAAAAACTCCGCATTAAATAGCCAAAATTTAAGAGCGGAGAAGGGTCACTCCTACCGCACGACGACGCTGGACCTCATACTGTCAGGTCACGTTTGCAGAAATGCAGGAGTTACCGTTAAAGGCATTTTGTCATTTGCCTCTGTTGGCAGACATTCCTACCATAAATCACATTTTTTTTACCAGATCTTAATGATATTATACTAGAAAAATTGTCCAAATCTTAACATTATATCGAAATTATTTTTTCAAACTTCATCGACTCTTATACCCCGAACTTTCACAGCAACACAATAAATAAGTTATCAAAATGGTAAAAAGGCATAACAATCGTGCATATTTCGATTGAAAATGAAGGAGTTAATCCTATAAAAAAGATTCGAGAAGTTAGAATTTATTATGCCACCTTCCATGCTAAGGGGCCTTATAGTGGATATGAAAAAGAAGACTTTCGATTTATTTTTAATGCTTCCTTTTCCTTTTACATTTCTACTGCACCAATCGAAAGTGCTTTGTTTCCTCTGTAAGTTCATAGTAATTTTCTTGTGTTCAGGCTTTGAAAATCCGTATGACAAAAAATGCGTTTTAGACCTCTACTCTGTTTTATCTTTTGCCGAATTCACACCGCTGCTAAAATATTATGGGATATCTGCTCCGTGTACAACGCGCATATCTATGAACACTGCTTTAAACTGGTTTGTGAAGATTACGAACAGTATGTTGGAACTGCGGGTAGCTGCGGCCTGCCGTCTGAGGTCAATAGGGATTGACTGAAGGTACTTCTGAAGGAGAAGGCGGCCGGCAAAAAATTCGTGAATTAGACAAAAAATTAATTGTGGTTATACGCCTATCAAGCTCTATGGGGTTTACCAAAAATTGAACTGAGTAAACATCACAAAGAATACGGCTTTACACCATCTCGCCCGGCACTAAACGACATGCAGCCACAATGACAGGTTTTTACACAAAATGGACACTGGTGAGAAGATGTGATGTTTTCATGTCGCTGTTAACCAAAGGAAATAATTGGTAGCTGGGGAAGAAACGCCCAAGCCCAGAATTAAGCCAGATTTCCATGCCATTGCTTTCTTAGGGACTGGAAGGGTCTTACCTGAGAATAACAGACAGTCAACAAGGATCTGTACATAGCCCAATTACGTCGTGTGAACAAAGTTACCCCATAGACCTGATAGGCGAAGCAAAATTATCTTTCTTCAAGATAATACCAGACTCTACAGGGAAGCTTTAGTGAGAGATTCCTCTACACACCGTATTCTTTAAAATTCTCTTCGACGAATTATCACTTTTTTTCATCACAGGCAAATTAAATTAGTACTCGTACATTTGACAGGAGAGAGAATCTCAAAAGCTGGTTGGACGAGTTCTTCAACTCGAGACCTTAAACTTTCCGGCGATAAGCAAGAGATAAATTGATTCACGGCAAAAGGAGTCGTTGTCAGGTAAATGCTGGGTTCTTTACTAACTGAAAAAAACCTAAACTAGTTATATTTCAACCTAATATATGTATATTTAAGGCTGTTACAAGCGGATCTAACGGACTTTGAAAGTAAATAACCTTTAAACTAGTCGGGCTAACTTCTGGTCAGCCATGTACTGATCATTGACGTTCCGACAAGTGATTTTTCCATATATATATATAGCTTCTCAAACTAAATCATGTTTGTCCGTTCGAATACATACAAAGCTTCGTCGACTGGGAGTAAGATATTACCTCGGTCAATTTAGTAAATAATTGAAATGACGAAATGAATGACGATAAGGACTAGACTGCGTGCTTTGATTGTTTTGCCAATAATTCATGAGTCTCTTAAGGAATTCCACTACGTTGTGGATTGCCATCATTGTTTCGCTTTCGAGATAAACCATCGTAGCGAGTATTATCATCACCTTCGTTCGTACCCATCCAACACTATTACTAAACTCAGTTTCTCTATCGCATGATTTCTATCTGGCTAATGGTTGGTAGATATTGAACCGTATAGCGACCGTATGCTCCAGGTATGTTTTTGTTTTATTGAATAAAGTTCCTAAATTGCACCACACTCGTTTTCTTTATTTTTATAAATTTACGGGGAACCTATTTCTTATTCAGTTTTCACATTTTCAGTGTCTGGATAATAATTTTGTGACATGGTACATGTGGAACGGTGGTTTTGGCTCACAATACCCTTAGGCTCCAAGCTTCCCTTCATGAAAGCTTCTCTCTCCCCCCACTTCAATAACGACAATGCGTTTTTATCTCCCGAGTCGACATTTAATCATTTTCTAGCTGGCTTTTAACACTCCAATCTCCGTTCTAAAAATGTTTTTACCAGTCACGTATTGTGGCGAGTCACGAATTTTCGCACCGTTTGTAGCCTTGAAAAAATAAGGATTTGGCCATTGAACGCTAATTTTCGATACCTCAAGATGTTCTTCCTTTTGAATTGATTCCTCGTAGAGTAAACTCAACCGATATTTACTCGCAGGTTTCTAAAAGACAGAAGTATTTATCAGCCAAATTTCATAAAATCTCATACACACAGGGCATAGTTCGAAGGCTTCCTCAATCTTGTCAATTTTAAATTCCCTGGATTCGTTTGTAATATATGGATGTTCACCAGTTGCTTCGTCTGAGACGCGCTGAGCCTTGGCGAAGTGTTCTGCTCCCAGAGGAGAATTAGTTCTTTCGAAAACTAGGAAAGAAACCGATCTCTGCGAAGAACATGCGTCGATCTACCAAATTAAGCGAAAGTCAGCTATTATCCAATTTCTTTGCACGGAGAAATCTACAATAAGATTAAAAAAAACTTCATTTTCTGGCCGACGTCGATGATCTACGTTAGTGTTGGATTGCGTGCGGTTTCAGAAAAGCCACAACAAAATACCATGAGGCAAAGTGGGACATTTTCAATAGCGTTTCTGTTTTTAATATATGTTCGAAATATCTTGAAAATAGCCGTGAGAAAGTTCTTTTTTTTATAAGTTAGAATTTGAATATGAAAATTAACGGTCGTTTTGAGGAGGGAAATATTAATTGCCGGTTGTGTCCTTGAGACAAGTTCCAACGACTACATTTGCTGAGGCTTGTTTTTGCACTTGTTCGTTACTTCGAGCCTTTGCGTGTTTGGGAGCGCTATTAACTTGCTGAAGTTGTTTGTTTGTAGGGTACTTGGAAGACACTTTGACGAGTGTGTATCTAATACTATCGCTTCACTTACGCTTACTGTAAAAAGAGTAATTTGTAAAATGACGAGAAAATATGTTAAAAATAGCGTCAAAACTCCAGTCGTGGTAGATGACGCTTATATTGATACGTACGACATTCACTGCGATGTCTAGTTTTGTTCAGATACTGCCCTAGAGACAACACACAAAAGCGATTCCGGATTTAAATAGAAAACCTTGTGTATGTGTATAAGAATTAAAGGTTTGCTGACATTATGATTCGTTTTCAATATCATTTTTTTAAGCTAGTTTTATTATAACCAGCTAATACTTATTGACAGCCTTTAAGTTCATCGTCTTTGTATGACGCCTTCTCAAACAGAACTTCGTGAATGCTCCTCCAGACAATTCGAACGATGAAAGAAAATTTATTCCGATATCTGAGACGGTGTTCCGTATTGCTAAACAAAAGCTCCGATTGATCTGCTCACTAAAAACAGTAGTACCTTATTGTCGCCCATGAATGTTTTCAATATGAATGAGTATCTTTTTTTGGGCCTATTGTGATTAGTGTACCTTTGCCGGACGGAGTTTTAAAATCA